AGTCCAAAAATGATGACAGTTACAAGGAAACGAGAGGGGGGGGTCGAGCCAAACCTTGGAAAAAAAAAATGGCGGAGCCAAACCTTGGGAAAAAAAAACCACCCAAACCCTTTCACCCTAGCACCATTCAGGGCTGAAGGAATTTATCTTGGGGTTATGTTGAGGTTATATAGGGACAATGGAAAAACATGGAAACTACTGTTTAGGATTCAGAGTTTAGGGTTTAGGGTTTAGAGCTGAGGGTTTTGGGATGGAGCTTGTGGGTTTAAGCGTTAGAGTTTTGTGTGCACGGATCCGTGCTGTACAGCTCAACACGCTGCCCGGCCTCCTACCTTCCTGCCTCGAGCCAAGACCCCCAAAACAAAGCTCTAAACCCAAACTGCGTAGAGCTTGTGTGGGCACCCAAAGGCTCCATGTAGCTATATGGTATATACTTAGGGCCCAAAGGTGTTCCCATATAACTACTTTAGGGCCCAAGTATATACCATATAGCTACATGGAGCCTTTTGGGCACCCCAAAACGGAACTCTGACCCACAACCACGTTAGGTTGGCGGGCCTTGGCATCGACACCCTGCGGCTGTTCCTTTGCTTGCCGCCGGCTCGAGCAATTGAGCTGGGCCTCACCTACCTGCTCTCTGGGCAATAGTTCAGAAATTGTTTGGGTTCAGGGTTGAAAGGTTTGGAGCCATATAATGCAAAAGGCTGGAAAAGGGAGGTATAGATGCTTTGGGTCTACAGATTATGGAGAACCAAATGGACAAGAGCATGGAACATGAAATATTCCATACTGCTTTACATTTTTTAGGGCTAGGTAGGGCAACACTCCTTGTTATAAACAGGTACTGTAGAATTGTCCTTCGTAACTTCCGTACTCTGATGCATAGCGCTCATGTTTCTGAAAATGCGTGCCAGGTTCGGGGATAGAATAACGGAGAATCATGTGGAAAAGAGATCGTAATGTACTTGCTTAGGTTTGCAAGTGCTGAGGAGCCATGTAGAGAAGAAGATGGAAGCTCAAATGAAAACTGAATTACTGGCTTGGGCTAGATGAAATTCGGGCCTGGTTCCTACATAAGTGTCTTGGCAATTGGGGCACAAATTGCACTCCCCCTAAGGCCTAAACCTTAAACCGCTTGGACCCTTAGGGTAGACCACTCCCACACGGTGCAAGGGTCTTATGCAAATTCTTCTGGGATTTGCTGCTTTGAAACTAAGGTAGATCCGTGATTAATAACCCCCCTCGCTTTAAGAGCCTTAATATTAGGTCCCCTACTATAACCCTCATGAAGGGGAGGCGGTTCATTAATCACGGATCTACATTACCCACCTTCAAACTAACCCTCCGCAATGGGCCTCCATCACCACTGTATCACAAACCCGAATATAAAATCCTGAAACTGGACTCCAAAACCCTAAGGCCTACACCCCAAAACCCTAAGCCCTCAACCCGAAACCTTCAACCCTGAACTCTAAGCCTTAAACCTTCCAAGGCTCACGTCCGGTCGCGGCGCCACGCCCCAGGCTAAACTTGCCTCAGCGGTCACCCAAAACTTGGCTCCTGGGCCCCCGAAAGCCTAAAATCATGAGGGTCTACGATTGTAGGGTCCAGGCCTCAGGGTTCCAGGTTTAGGGTTCAGACCCTAAACCCTGAAGCTTTGAACCCTAGGATGTAGGATTTGAGAGTTCAGGCTTTCATCTTCAGACCCTAGGGTTGAGGGTTGAGGCTTCACTCACCTCTATGATTCCTACATAGCAACCAAAGTCGGTTTTAAGGGTTTAGGGTTTGGGGTTTAGGATGCGGAAGGGCTTATGAGGCTCTGCGTTCTCAATCCTAGGAGGGAGGAGTCACTTGGAGGGTCAGGAGTTCAGGGCTTAGGCGTATGTAGACTTAATTACAACCCTTTTTTTAAATTGAGCCATCGAAGAACTCCAGTTGTCCATATTACTCTTCTTACTAAGTCCCCTGACCGTCCAAGCAGTGTTTAAAAGGATAGAAGGTGAGGTGGTATGGAAGATTGCAAGGTTATCATTGTTTCCTAATGTTACCTGTATGCTTATAACACAACATGTTTTAACATCCTATTCTAATCGTGCAGCCTCCTACATTTTTGACAATTCAGAGTTCAAGATCTGGGAATTAGGGCCCAGCGCTTGAGGTTATCCACTTGTGGTAGAGTTCGCGGTTATTTGTGCACGTATATAGATACATATATACATATATGCACATGTATCTGATTATACATGTGTGTCTGCCTGCGTGTATACATATCTGAGACAGGTTGATTGCTTGGGGCGTCTTTCTCTGGACTGCACGAGCGTTCTGATTATCCTTCTAGCTGTCATTTGTTCTGTTCTCTTGCGGTCTCTGTTTCTCGCAGTGTAATCGCTTTCGGACTTCTTCTTGATCGAAGAAATCGAACCCAACGCATTGCACTGCCTCAGATATCACGCGTAATGCAAGATTTCAGCTGGCAGCCTTAAACATACCCCCTTAACAACCTGAACCTACTGTACTCCAAGCCCCCTAAACCCTGAACCCCAAACCATGAACGCTAAACTCTAAATCCTGGCTCCAGACGTTCAGGTTCGCGATCTGGAGTGCGCAGGTTCACTTCTGACAGCTTTATCGCAATCTCGACGAGATGCTGCATCGGAGCTATCGCCCCGGATCGCGGCCATGAAGCTAGGCAGTTTCCCTGGGGTTTGGTGGTTTTCGGGGTTTTGGTGGTTTTGGGGGGCATTTGGGTGTTTTGGGAGTTGTGGTGGTTTTGGGGTTTGGGGGGTTTAGAGGCTTAGAGATTTAGGGGTTGTGGGGCTGTAGGTTTAGGGTTTAGCAGTTACCCTAAGGGCTCCAAGTCAATAAACAGGTCAGGTCCTATATTGGGCCATAACGGCGATGAATAGTACCTATACCCATACACCTCGGGCGTTTTGGAGCTTGGGGTTGGAAAGTACACCCTTATGTAGATAGGCAACATCTTGTGTTTAGGGTTAGAGGTATGGTTCTGTGTTCAAGGTTTACACGAGGGGATACTAGGAGCTTAGACTATAGCTCATGTAATCCCATTACAGCCATCAAAAGTTGATTTCGACGCTAGGGAACCCGAAGCCTTGAACTTACTACCCCAAAGGGTCCATGTAGGTATATGGTATATACTTAGGGCCCAAAGGGGTTCCCATATACCTACTTTAAAGCCCAAGTATATACCATATAACTACATGGACCCTTTGGGTACAATGCGTATATGTAACCCCCAACTATCATATATTTCCTGTCTACTTACTAAGAACCAGTAAGTAAACGGTGTCATTGCATCTAGCTGAGGAAATGGCTTCTGCTCACGGTCGTGACGCCTACGCAGTCAGGAGATAAGGGATTATAATAGTACGCCCCCTCCCAGATTTGAAATCATTAGGCCTTATTAAGCCTTAGAAGGTTCTTACTAGCTCCTTAAACCCTGGGGGGTACGTTTTGGGGGGATGTATTGTTTAAACCCTAAACCCTAAACCCTATAACCCCTTAGGAGACGGTCTCGTCCCAGACCTCGGCTTCTGTCGCATTTCAGAGCACGCGCTTCAGCAGTTGCTAGGTGGACTTTACCTAGTGGTTCTTTGTAGGGAATGAGGGAACAGGGTTTGGGGATAGTAGGGAATAAGGGAAGATCATCCTTATAATCCCTATTATATATTCCCTTATTCCCTACTACGAACCACTAAGTTTACCGGGCTCCTCTTGATGGCTCTAACATACGTTTTCAGGGTTGTGGGTTTGGGATTGCTGTTAAGCTGCTGCACATACAGGTGGGTCTTTACTACAACTTCAGAACTTTCATAACTTTTAGGGTTCCTGCCTTTCGTCTGTATTAAGCTAGAAGTTATAGTCCCACTTAAGTAGATAGAACCTGGCTTCAGGTATAGTTTAACAAGATTCCCATATACACCACATTCTATCTACTTAAGGGGGACTATGAACATGTAGTGGGGAATGAAAGCAGAACTAAGGTTGGTCCAGTCCAATGTGATGCTCTGCCCCAGGGGGCGCTTGGACCTTCTGATCCGTGTTGCCTCAATGCTCATCTGTTTTGATGGAGATGTTCTGAACTCCCAGCATGAGATCAAGCGGTTTCTGGGCTGTTGTCGAATTTGTGTTCACATATGTTCCGTAGTCTTGTGTATATTTCAACCCAACAACGGATAGCATGAGCATCGCAAACATAACTTCAGCAATGTAGGAGCTTCTCACGATGAATTCTATAGAATCCCTCATACGGAACCCTATAGTCCCCAAAGGTTTATCGAGGGGCCCCCCACTTTGAGAAACTCCCCACTCCAGGTTTCTCTTGGAGACGGACAAGCCCTTGACCTCTCTGCTTCCCAGCTCTGCCACAATTGGCAGAGCCCTGGTATCTTTACTCTTCTGCCCAGATCATGCCGAGCAAATGAAGCAGGGTGAGTTGGGAGCTTCACTGGTACATAGTTTTGAAAATCTGTTTGGTTACAACGTCTTGGATTGGATGCCACTTGATGGCGGGGAGCCTCATAGGCTAACTGCTGCTGCTCATGCTGCCATCCTGGAACATGCCCCTGATCTTGATCGTGTCCGAGCTATCGTGACAAAGCCACTTTTGAATGCCTTCTCGAAGCTGATGACCCTTCAGGGAGCCTGGGCCATTGTTGGTTTACGAAACGTTAAAGGTACAAACATGTCAGGTACAACGCGCAATTGTCTATAGTTATAAACCCTATAAGGGTCCAAGTACCCAATAATCATATACTTACCCAAAACCTGTACTATAATTCCCATTACCCAAATCCCAAGTACCTAATTATTGGGTACTTGGACCCTTAGGGAAAGTTACGGTTTGCAGGGCTATAGGGCCAGATACCCAGCAGCTCCTCTCCAGGTACCATGGCGGCAGATCGTTTCCTTTGCGAAGCTGGGTGGAAATCTGGGATACTTCCCCAGGTATCCTTATGGTACTTTCCATAAGTAAGGGGGCCCAAATGTAGTACCCCTAAATTTGGGAAAGTTCCACATAGCCCCAAGTAGGTAATGCTTACAGACTTTAGGGACCCAAGTTGGTCTGATTCGTTAGGGTTTAGGGTTCAACATATGCTCGGATATCCAGGGCTTGTTCTTTTTCCCAAGATCTAAGGTTTACTGCTGTCCGACAGAACGCATGAATCATCAAGTTTACCCAAAGGGTCCATGTAGTTATATGGTATATACTTGGGCTTTAAAGTAGGGGCCCTAAGTATATACCATATACCTACATGGACCCTTGGGGTTAGGAGCCTTTCAAGTACCATCCAGGAAGTGCTAGAAAACCTGCCGTCGGGCTCGGACACGCTCACCCTGACAATTCTGAAGATTCTCTCAAGCGGGGAGGAGGCCGATTCATGGGTTTCGGGTTTAGGGTGTAGGGAGCCTCGCGGAGTGACTGGTAGCGCTTTTCGGCACTTAGGAATGGATGCGCTTATTACAGCTCTATAGAATCCTCTTTAGTAATCTAATAAAAGCTGCGATAGCTAACTACTGGTATTTCATTTCTTCATTCCTTGCCCTACCGAACACCAGGAAGGTTAGAGTGTAGGGTGAGGCCAGGTCGTGGTGCACAGGCTGCATAAAGTGGTTTAGGGTTTAGGGCTAGGGTTAGGGTTTAGGTCTTAGGGTTGGAAATCCCTTCAACACATCACCATGCCTTCGTCGAGTTGAAAAGCATGTTTGCTGCTAAGCCCTAGCCCCGCATTTTTTAGGTTCAGGGGTCAGGGGTTTAGGGTTTAGGAAAACAAGTGAATCAGACGCCCGCGAACAGGGGCAGAACACATGGGGGGTTCGAGGCCCCCGGCCCAAACGGGCCCATAGGATTTCGGGCTTGGGGAGCACTATAGGGGATATGAATGGGGAAACTAGGAGTTTAGATCCAAAACGGGCCCATTTTGAATTTCCCCGCTGTTGATCCTCTTTTTCGCATGTTGGAAAAGAAGTAAACCTCTCGTAAGAACCCTGCACGGCAGAGGAGCGGGGAATGTGACCACATCAACGCGGTGATAAGTGGGGAAATTTCTCAACATCGCCCAAGAGAGTTCAGAATTACAGAAAAGCAGTATATTGGAATTTTGCTGGCCATTTGTGGAATGGCTCCGAAGCGGAAACATTTTGAGACCTGCAGCATTTACTACGAGTGTATTCTCACCAGGTGCGGAAATTTGGCCTTACACCAAGGGTCCATGTAGTTATATGGTGTACTTGGGCTTTAAAGTAGGTATATGGGAAACCCATTTGGGCCCTAAGTATATACCATATGCCTACATGGACCCTTTGGGTTACACCCTGGTTTGCGGGAGCCCAACTGAACCGGCATCCCAAGTCCCGAAACCATGCTTCAGTTCCTAAACGCCAAACACCTAGACCTGGTTAGGGTTTAGGGTTTAGGGGAAGACGAGATAAAGCTCATAACTGCTCAGGGTGCTACTTCCTTAGCTTAAAACCCAAAATGACCCTAGAACCCAGGCCCCAAACTCTAAACCGTAAACCCCTATAGAAACTAGATCCTAAACCCTAAATCCTAAACCCTAACCCCCAACCTTACAGTCTAAATCCTAAACCCTAAACTCTAAAACCCTAAACCCTAAATCCCAAACCCCAACCTCAAAGAACTTGCGGTTTAACTTGAAGGCCGTGAAGCCAGTTGTGGAGGCAGCCATCTCGAGTTTGGCCTCTGCCGGAAGTAGCCTGCTTCTGGGGCCTTGCTTAGGTACCAACTTAGAGTTCAGGGTTTAGGGTTTAGGATTCAGGGTTAGGGTTTAGGGTTCAGGGTTTAGGGTTTAGGGTTCAGGGTTTAGGGTTTAGGGTTTAGGATTCAGGGTTTAGGGTTTAGGGTTCAGGGTTTAGGGTTTAAGATAATGGAAAGGCAAATGGAAACTTCTATAGTATATTGGGGTATTATTGTGATAATGGAAAATAAAATGGAAATTACTATAATGGGCTCTAGAAGAACTAGTTTGTTACTAGGTACCCCACTAGTACCCTTTTGCGCTTTTTATTTTGGGGTCTCCTTATTAAAGCTGAACAGTAGGAACAAGGGTACCCTTATTATTATGGGGTTACTGGGGAACCTAGTTACGGATTTTTACATGGGCTGCTGTTAAGGAACTTAAATTAAGTTGCTATTTTGGGGAAACCTATCAATTACTCTCTCTCTCTCTCTATATATATATATCTCTGTATAGATATAGATATATATACCCACTGTGGTAACTGAATTTGAATTCCTCAACTGCAGCCCAGGCTTCTGGGTCTTACAGGACTTTATGGGTTTAAGGGTAGGGTTCAGGCCAGGGTTCAGGTTTTAGGGTGTAGGCCCAGGCTTAAAGCCTATAACCCCGAGGTTGAGATGGTTGAAGGCTAATTAACGGGAACCTATAGGGGGTGATAGAGGGTATAGGGTTTAGGGTTTAGGGCTTAGGGTTCAGGGTTTAGGGTTTAGGGTTTGGGGTTCACACTTAGTAGTTGAGTGGGTAGCTGTTGGCCCTTCGGGGTACCTCTAACTCTGAATAATGACAAGGCTATCCCTTTGGGAGCGGGGTACCAAAACTCGCCTAGTAAAAAAAATCGGTGGCACTTTTAAAGCAGTCATTGCTCGCCATTGTTGGTTGATAGGGGGCTATTCAATCAATTTAATGAGCCTTCAACGTTCAACGTGCCACCAAGGCAAGGCTCGCGCCAGTTCTGGGCTGAGGGGTTACCCAGCGAATCCATTTTCTTGTTTTTTGAGTGTCCCTAGGTTTATGAAGAAATCTGTCTAAACTAGAAAGAGAGCTCTTTCTGAAGAAGTTTGTTCACACTAGAAAGAAAGCTCTTGTGGTTTCTAGGTGGCAGATACCATATGCCTTGGGGCTGTTTGTGCGCGGGGGCCTATCCCCATTGACTCCCTATTCAATCCACTGTTTGCCCTGGCTAAGCCCTTCACCCTGGAATTTTGCCCTAGTCCCTCAGCCGCGTATCCCTGAACCCAAGTTCTAGACCTTAAATCCGAAAACATGCATCATGTCAAAAACTATCTTCGCTTGCCGGGTCCATAGGATTATATGCCGGGCCCTCACAGCCCTAGCCGTCTAAACATTCCAAAAGACCCAAATGCCAACCCTGGCTCCCCAGGTTTGCGTCAAGCAAGAACCCCTTCGTCCCGGCACTCTTCTCCGCACTCCAGTTTCCTGGCGGTATAAGGAACATGGTTTCTGGTTTTGGGGTTTAGGGGCTTCGGGTTTACTCGGACATGGGGCCACTGTGTACGTTTGGCTACCACAAGGTTTCAAGCATGCATGTCGCTGCAGTGTTCCCTTGCCCCGAACAAATATGGCAAGTCATAGGCCCCGTTTCAAGGGGAAGTAAGGCAGTAGTCTTGATCGTGCCCATTCTGCAACGTCATTCTTGCAAAGGGCTCTGAGCAAGATTGTATTCTCGCGTCGGGGAGATGTGCTTGTTTTCTGCACAGCTGTTCAGGGCCTTGGGGAACGTGCTTCCTCAAACCCTAGACAGCTTGGCTTTCGCCACACTAAGACCCTATAAGCCCTACCTAAAGGAACGTTGGTAAAGTTAGAACCCAGAGGGTCCATGTACCCAATAATTAGGTACTTGGGATTTGGGTAATAGGAATTATTGTACAGGTTTTGGGTAAGTATATGATTATTGGGTACTTGGACCCTTAGGGGAATAGTATTCGGTGCAAAGCCCCTTTTTTGTAGGTGCATTGGTTACTGTGGGCAAGCCGTTGCTGAGCTTGTGGGGTTGGGCTTTCTCATGCCGGCATCTCATGTTTAGAGTTTAGGGTTCAGGGTTAAGAGTTTAGGGCTTAGGGTATAAGCAGAGACGGTTTGGGGTTTAGTTCGGGCATAGGGTTTGGGGGGAGAATATTGATGGTCCCAATCCCAAAGCACGATGGGTTACTGGAAAATCTAACTCAAAAGAAGACAGAAGACAGAATAGGACATGGAAACTGGGCTGTATAGCTCTTAGCAGTAAGAGGAGATTGGCTACCCCAGGCCCAAAAATAGGACCCTATCAGCCTATAACTCTTATATGATTATCATGGGGTCCGCATTTTGGTGTTGGTTGGGGCTACCGAAACTTCCTTCTTGCAATCGTGTCTTTGTCAGGACCTTCCACCCAGAAAACTGCAAGACAGTAAGGTCTGGTTGCAGTACCAGACCACATCACGAGATTCTCGTTGGGCTCCTTGAGCCAGACAGCGCCTGTGTGCTTGGCCAGGGTGAAGCCGATCAGAACAAGCACGCTGGCCTCGTGGGCAGGATAGGTTGGTGCCTCCATGACACCGACCCTGAGAACTTGATGCCTCTTTTGGATTTGTTTCTACGCGGCCATGGGCCAATGGCAGAAGACCGAGTGCTCCTCGCTGCCAGGTCGCCGCATCCTAGGGGCACAGGGTTCGAGGGTAGCAAAAAGCAGATTATCACGAGATAACTGTAGTCATGGCTTGAGTGACCCGCCTGCACATACTCGAAACCCCAAAGCGGAACATTGAATTGCAAACTCGAAGGGCAGCCAACGGGCTGCTCCGGCCATTTGCAATGATATGTGTAGGCATACTGCTTAGGTAGGTTCTTCCAGGTAAGACTTCATCAACACCTGAGCTCCAGGAGTCTTATTCTGGACACATTTGCTTTCTGGATTTCGGACACGCCTCTGAAAAAGCCAGCCTGTTACAACCCTAAACCCAGTAAACAGATGAGCAAGAGTCCAACATGCTTAAAGGGTGGTTTATATAGGGGGTCATATAGGGGCATATCTAGGGGAGTAGTATAGGGATCATTGAGGGGGGTGCTGGGAGTTTAGACTATAGCTCAGATCCCTGAAAACATTAAAACCCGTGAAACGAGGGAGTTGGAATCCTTTCCACCCCCTGTATTCAACAATTTCTTTAGGATCCCAAATAGAATGTGGAA